AGTTACAACAAGAACACTATCGTTACCTACCTTTAGATTAACTTTGAAATAATAGTAGACACCTTCTTGTTAATAAATCTTTAAAAACTCTCCTAAACATCATTTTAAATACGTGGTCACTTTTATCACGTGTTTTTGTAATATTAGGTTTAATACTCACCCTCATCTCAGAACTCGCACCAAAAAGGTAACAATATGAAAATAAAAAAGTAAAAAAAAATTAAAAAAATATATAAAGAAAATAAAAAAAATCAAATTATTTTTTTGACTAGTTTTTAAAGATATTAATATATTAATATTAATAAGTATATTAATTAATATATTGATATTAATAATTATATATTTTTTATTATAAAATTTATAAATCTATTTAAAAAAACTAAATTAAAAATATTTAATAAGAAAATTTATAAAAATAAATTATAATAATTATATATATAACTATTTATATTTTTTAAATATATATAATTATTTATATTTTTTAAATATATATTAATTTTTATAATTATTGTTAAATAATAAAAATAAAATTAATACTAGCTATAAAATTATATAAATTATATAAAATAAAAAGAATTATATAGTTAAATATATTTAAAAATAGGGAGATTATTTTAATAAACTTTTTATATATTATTAGAAAAAGTATATAAAACTCAAGACTTTAATAAATAATAAAGATTTTACTTAAGATTATAAAGTATAATTATAATAATAAAAATTAGAAATATATTTTTCTAATAACTTGAAGATATATATAGTATATTAAAAAAACTTTATTTTTAAAACTAATTAGCTATATTAAAAAAATACTATTTTTATAAAAATTTATAAAAGATATATATATATATATTTATAAAATATAAATATAATAAAAGAAAAAAAAATTTATTTTGATAATTATAAATAATTAAATATAGAAAGAAATTATTAAAGAGAATATTTATATATAAGAAAAATATGAAAAATTTTGATGATAATATATTAAATATTATATTAAAACTTCAGTTTCAACTAGAAAAAAAGAATTTATTTAAGTAATATATAATAAATATTACTTTTATATAAATAATAAAAAATTTGAATTTAAGAAAAAAAATACTTTTTATTTAAAATACATGAAATATTTTATTATAATTTTAGCTTTTTTTTATTTAGATCATGAATTATTATAATTATTTAACTAATAACTTTATATAAATTTATATATTAAAAATAAAGAAACTTTTATTTTTTATTTTATTTAAATAAAAAAATATTAAAAATTAAAGTATATATTAAATCAATTTATATATAAAATGATTTTAATATTTAAGATATTATATTTTGAATATACTAGAATTTTTTATTTTAATTAATTAATAAATTATAATACTATGATAAAAAATATATTAATCATAACAAGAATAAACTTGAATCTGAAAAAAATATAATTTAAAATATGTAATAATTAGTATATTAATAAATTTAAAGAGAAGTATATATAATTAATAATATTTTTTAATAATTATCTTACAAAATAGTTAAGAAAAAAATTAAAATAAGTATTTGTAAAATAAAATTTTTAATTTATAAAAAAAATTTAATTAATATATAAAGAATATTCTGAAAAATATACTAATATTAATTTAAAAAGATTAAACTATTATATATAAAAAATCATATTATTATAATTAGATTTTCTTGAATAATGATTATTATTAAAGAAAGTGATTATTAAAGCAGAATATATTTTTAAATAATACTTAAAGTTTTATTATAAATATAATTTTATAGAGTAATATTAGAATTTTATAAAATAAGAAACTTAAAAATTATATATATAAACTTAATAAATTAAATTTTAAAAAATTCTTAATAATATATTTATAATTATTATTTATAAGTTTATCTATAAGTTATAAAGATATATAAATATATATAATAGAGAATTAAAAAGTTAAACTACTAAATAGATCATTAATAAATTTAAGTTATATTATCAAATTTTAAAAAATATTAAGTAATTAATAAAAATAAATAAAATAAGAAAAATAAATTAGAGAAATAAAATATAAAATATAAATAAAATAAATTATTAAATATATAATTGATAATTATATATTAATGATAAGAAATAAATAATCAATAATTAATGTAAATAAATATAATATTATATTATAATAATATTTATTTATAATAATACTAATTATTAATATTATATATCAAATCTATATATAAAATATTATTAATTATATTATATATTATATATTATACTATTTTATATTACATCTAGAAAATTAAAACAAAATTATATGATTAACTAATTAAGATATTCTGTATTATATATATAAAATAATATAATTATATTAAAAAAAAGTTTGAATATAAAATAATTTATAAATAATACTAGAAACTTTAAATATATTAAATAAGATTAAAAATGATTTAATTTAAAATAATAAAATATTAAAATAATAAAGTATTAAAATATTTAAATTACATTAAAATATTAATTTTTTATTACAAAATTTATATATAATAATTAAATTAATTAATTAAAAATTAATATTTTTATTAGTAAAAATTTTAACTTCTTAAAAAATAATAAAATAAAAAATTTTCTTACAGAATAATAGCTTTATTAAAGAATTAAAAATATATAAGAAAATTTTTTATTTTTTATTTTCTTTTTCTTTTAAAATTATAACAAATTAAATATCTTATATTATTTCTCACTATATAAAAAAGAAAAAATTGTAAATTTAAAAATAAATTCATAAATTAATAATTAATAATATAGAATACTTTAAAATTTTTTAATTAATTTAAAATAATACTTACTGTATTTATAATAGTATTTATTTGTAATTTTCTTATTTTTTATTCTAAATTAAAATTAATATTTATTTTCAAATAATATTTACTTTATATAAATACAATAATTTATAATTATTTTATATATTACTAATAATTATATGAATTACTTATATTATTAAAATATATAAAATTTTTTTTTTCTATTTTAAAGTCTTTAAATTTACTAATAAATATTTTTTATTTTATATTAAAATAAAGATAATAATTGTAAATTAATAATAAGAAATTATTTAGAATTTTTATGAATAAAAGAATTTGAATAATTTAACAAAGAATTTTATTGCAATAATTTCTTTATTTTTATAATTTAATATATTCTTTGTTCAAACTAGAATCACATTTCACCAGAAAATTTAGTTTAGTAAAAAAAAAGAGGGTAGTTTATGCGACGAATTACGGTACTTAAATTCTGATATCACGTATGTATGTTTTGTATTAAACCACAAGTAACTTCTATAGACACGATGGTTTCACTTTGGTCTTATTTTTTAAAGAATGCCAATCCAGTCCTTCTTTTTAAAAACAGATTGAATAAGACAATTTAACATCTTTAAATAAGAGATTCTTTGGACCAAAATTTGATTGAGATCGGACGAAATAAAATAAGTATATTCCTAGCAAATTATAAATTTTAATGAAAACATCAAGCAACGTTATTTTACAAATGCAAATCAAAAAAGTGAGATATAATCAAAAATGAGGCATATTATATAAATAATTGCCATATATATTTAGCGAACCAAATCATTTTAATTTGTTCGTAAATGATAGACATTTATAAACGTCTAAAAATATATAATACCAAAATAAGATATTCTAAAAAAATGTGTTTATAATAATAAAATAACAATAAAAATAATAAGGTTCGATTATACTCTATCGTATCGCGCGCGCACCACTATTTGATTATCCCACATCTCTTCACACTCTACATAGCTTCATTAATAATTTCAAAAGCTTTCTTGTAGACATCCAACATTGTCTGACATTTTTGTCGTTCACTTGCCAAATTTTCGTCTTCTTGTAAAAGGTCGACAAATAAATCTTCTTTATATAATTCGGCTACCAATCGATTTTGTACCGATTCACGTGAATTATTGACTAAAAGATGCATAATTGCTTTGGGCACAACATCTTGAACCATTTTACGAACAATATTAAAGTAGGATGTAATTAAGGAACCTGTTTGAAAGAAAATATAATTATAAGTCTTTTGTTTGTCGATTCACAATTACCGAACGTTGAAATGATACTCACGGATCAATTGGGTTTCCATCTCCTCTTGTTCAGTCAAGTTATGAGATTCTTCAGAGTACGATCCCTAATTTAGGTTATTCATTGATTAATAAATAGTTCATTAATTAAAGTAAAGGAAATAATGAGAAGCCCTTTTTCAATTTACATTTAAATTGACTCCAGCCAATTTTCTTTCTAATTCCCCAATATCTATCGCGGATTTATTGTATGTATTTGCACGATTTATTTGTTGTTCCGGTAATGAGGTCCTCTCCGGCTTGTTTCCGCTTCCAAAGAAATACGTCAGAAAACCTTCACGTTGTGCCCAACTTGCTGAATTGTTCACCGGAGTGCTAGTACCATTTGATAGGGCAGCAAAATCCTTAGATGACGTAGATTCCTTATATCCGTCAGATATTGTCAGCACATCAAGTGGATCGTCTTTCAATCCAGCAGCGGATCCATTTGTCAATGTAGGATGATGTGTATTGATACTACTCGTGTTATTCGTCTAAATATTAAAGACGAAATTTTTCCGATTAAGGAAAAGTAAACTAATCAGAATTGTTACGAGTAGCATTTGCTTTTACCTTTCTGTTATGTTTTTCATGTTCTTTTCGTCGACGTTCCATCCTCTTGACTAAATCTGAGATTGCCCCACCGCCTCCAATAAAATCAGGGTGGTTGGTGTTAATATAAGCTCGTTGAATAGCAATCAAACTTTCAACATAATCTGAAGTGGGTGTTAATCTTTCCCGCAATAAATCGGAAACAACTTCAAGCAGTTTGGCATGCAAGCGAGGGTATTGCTTCACTTCCTACAAAGAGTTTTAGGAAAAAGATACTTATTGAGAGGATCATATTGAAATCTCAATATTAACATATTCTTTCTTACCTTACCCCCGCAATTATGGCATATTTTCATTAATTCGTCATAGACCAACTCAACACACCTCAAACTAGGTGGCTCCAATAGTTGAATTTGTGGTTTAACGAGAAGATCAAAGGCAATCTCCGGAACAAATAAAGACGGTCGAGGACCTGTTGAATTTCGAATTGCAATTCTAATATCCTGAGTAGAGAGATTACCACATGGATTAATTGATTCCAGTGCTGTTCCGAATACATTATTAAATATATAATAAATTCGTGCGCCACCGCACCTACATACGAATTTTTGTTAGTATTAATTGCTGTGTAAAAAGTAGAAATATAAAGTACATATACATTTTATACATTTTAGCTTACAATTCCTTTGTTGAGATTTCACGAGATGTTCCATCGATAGACGATATAAAATCATTGGCGAACTTATTGAGTAGTTTTAGGATTAAGGAACTCTATAGTGGGACAAATGTGATGTAAATTATATGCTAAAATGAACACCTTTTAAAATATTTCGAGAAAATATTAACTCTGTGTTCGCCTTTTCCTGAAAGAACTGGATCTCCATATGAGGTAAGTTCTTGCTGAGTTTGGCCAATTAGAGTATTTATCCTTGTTTTCATATCCGGTAATCTCTCCCGAATATGATTCATTAAAATCTGCAAAAGAAAAATCGATCAATGATTAAAAAAAGTTTCCATCATTTTAAGAGGTTTAAATTAACAAATTTATGGAAACAAGTTACATTATTAAGAGTTTTTGCCAAGAAAGGTGTCCCACATCGAATTGCAATGCTTTTATACGCTGGATGATGTTTAAAAAATTCCGCTTCTGCTTTCAGAGCTTCAGACATTGGTTTATTCCCCACAATATCCTGTTGGCTGCGATTAACAACGCCAATAAATCCCAATTTTAATGGGAGAACACGGCCTGTTAAAATTTCCAGTGCATTTGTTCCGGCGTCCATAAGATCTAATTTAGTTAATACACCAATTGTTCTTCGCCCTTAAAATTATAATGACATAATTATTAAAGAAAATTCAAAAAATAGTTTAGAGAAGTAAATTTATTCGTATTAAACAAACCTTCAGGGTCAACCTGTTTTGCAAGCTTTAAACTCTCCGAATTCACCAAATCTACGTTTGCGGGACTTACAGCTAAAATAATACTGAAAAATGAACATCATAAATATATTAATATAGATTTTCTATTTTTCTTTGCGATCCATCCTTAATTCAGCTTGTACCTATTTGGTTTCGTTATATAATCAAGAATAAGATTTCTAGTTTGTTTTTTCAATATCAGTGGGCTGATCACCTAGTCAAAATTAAAGTTAATTGTTATAAGTACTTTAAATTCAGAAAGAAATTATAATTAACTTACCAACTGGTATCTAAGTAAAATCAAAATTATAGAGTCCAAAGCAATCCAATATTAGCAAATCAACATAAAATCCACTTAATAGTCGTCTGGCAAATCCTCTGTGTTAGAGAACATTGTTAAACGTGACTTTTTGCCAAGAGGAACAGGAATTGTAACCAGACGCCCTCTGGTGCTTCAGCTTGTCAATACTCACGAGAATGAAGATGGCCATGCAGAAGAATACGGAGAATTTCTGCATGCACCTAACCAAAAATTCACAGATTTCAGTGACATTCGAAAAGAGATTGAGGCAGAAACTGGAAGAGTGGCTGGACAGAATAAGGGAATTTCGCGGTCCCCTATTCATTTAAAGATTTTTTCGCCGAATGTTCTTAACTTGACTTTGGTGGATTTACCTGGATTAACAAAGGTATTATTATACCGAGGGGAGTTCAGTAGAAAAGAGGCAAATCAATTAGAGTAATTTGTTCCTTTTTTCTACTGACTTTCCCCATATATAGATTATTGTTGTAACAGCGACTAT